TTGAATTATTATTGGCCAAGCTACAATGTTATGGATTTTCTAGCACGTGTAATTAGTTCAGGATATTTTTAACTCATAGACAGCATATGGTAGTTATTGATGACGTTAATGAAGGAAAGAAATTCCCGAAACTAAAATCTATAGAGCGTGGGGTTCCTCAAGGATCATTGTTAAGTCCCATCCTATTTTCAATATTTACAGACACTTACCTTACTTACACATACAATCATGTAAGTACCACCTGTATGCTGATGATACCCAACTGTACTATTCCTTTGTAGGACGTGACGCTAAAACTACTATTAATATTATAAATAATGATCTTTCCAATACATACAAATGGTCAGAATAAACTCATTGGTACTGAATCCTTTGAAATCTCAAATGCTAGTGTTGGGTACCAAACATCAAATTCAAATGGTCACAGACTATAAAGAGCAGATTAAAATCAATGGAATAGCTTTGAACGAATGACATCCACTCGTAATCTTGGTCTGATCGTGGATAGGAACAAAAGTACATACAACATGTCAACAGTAATATTAGAAACGCTTTTTTTAGACTTAAAACCCTTTATAAAATAAGACCATATATAACAGAAGAAATACGCGTGCTTCTGACTGAAGCTCTTGTGCTGTCTCAATTTAATTATTGTAGTTCTGTTTTCGGTCCCCGGTTAAATAGTAGCATGGAGCGATCTGTTCAGCGAGTCCAGAATGCTTGCTCCAGATTCTGTTTTAACGTACCAAAAAGAGAACACGTAACACCCTTTTCGAATAAAAATCAGATTCTAAACATGAGTGCTTGAAGAGAACTGCAATAAACCTGTTGCATTCAAAGGGTAATATGGAATAAAAACCCTGAATACCTTTTTGGAAAAAACTCACGTGGAAAAAAGTTACTGTACATAAAGGTCTCATAAGGGTAAACATAAAACTGTAAGTTACAAGGGCTGTTTCAAGTATTGTGCAGCAGGTATCTGGAATGATTTACCCCCACAGCTAAGGAATAAAATAAGCATTAATAGTTTTAAAGCAAAATATAAATCAACATTATTACGACGACAATTTGCAGCGAAAACTTGACGCATGCTTGCTGTAAAACTTTGAAAATAGTAAAGATACTTTTGACACAAATCCCTAAGATAAATAACTATTGAAATAATAAAAGATATAACACTCACGCACACGTATACACACAATGTCAAGTCCGTAGATATATGAAGTCAAGCCCCATGAAGTTGTTGTCAAATGGTCAAACCCCATGAACTTCTTTGCTTGTATTATTTGTATTAAAAAAGTGAGTGACAATGGTAACGCCACAACAAATCGCGATGAAGGTAGTCATCGACAGCGCAAGAGGGTAGACAGATATGTCTGCTCTTAAAGCTGTCATCTGCCGCCGTCCAGTCAACCCGTGACCATGGAGCGTGCAACCGTTCCGAAATATCGGGAAAATAAAAAGAAGTCATACCGCGGTAAGAAACCTGATATTAGTGATAATCATTTGCTTGTATTATGTTCTTTTTCCCTTTTTTTAGACATTAATTATCATTAAGCCAATAACTATAATTATAATTTTACGTGCATTTGTTATTTTGGATATCGTTACGAGCTAGTTTATAAGGAATAGATTAAGACGAAAGCTCTCGTAGCAATGACTCCCGCTCAATACCATAAGGGAGTAGGCAGAGGCTGAAAAACAGGGTACCATCGCCGTTTCACCTTAAGCTGAACCCATGCCTATTGTCTCAATTTACTTTTACTGTTTTGACTTCTTTGCTATATATAAATTTAAAAAAAATGTTATTCTGAGACAATAAATGATTTATTTTATTTATTTAAATACCAGAAGCAGCTACTTTAAATCGGCGCTACAACGGTTATCGTTGTGTATAACAACTTGCTTCAATGTTGAATTTTGAGAAATTAGTGAATAATAAATCCAAATATCGGGAAATACATAATATTTTTGTATACGAACAATTCACTATGTCCGTATATTGGTACAATACATCTTGTAGCTCATTATCATAATCTAATAATGCTTGCTCCTTACATTGGGAAATAAAATTGATATTATCATAGGAAAAGAAATATCGAGTTACACGGTGATATTAAACAAGAAATTGAATTTCAGAAACATCTGTCTTCTTATTATTGTCGTCATTCTTGCTATTAAGTCTCATTCCTACAATTAACTACATAATGCTACCATTACGAACGACATTCGTCTTCTTGGCCAAGACACGTATTTTGATTCGACTTGATCCATGGATAAACCACAATTTTTTTTAGATTGAACTGATCGATGCTTTCTTTAATATACTATACTGGAACATTATTTTGATAGACTCTAAAAATTCGCTTAAATTCATAGTTCGGTCAACCTGGATAATTTGAAGTACTCCGATAGGTTATGCGATTATAGACCAGATCTTAGAATTACGTATGTAATTCCAAAATAATCAGGCTTCAGTGGGCGACGTCAAACGTTGGTATTGTCGGTAACGAAAAGGTATATTTATTTGCTAAGCGAGCTTATTAAAGTGGCGATAGGATTGTCTATTTTGCCTTGTTACACCGACTGCCTACATAAATATAAAACATATTGCCACCAGCGAAAGATCCAAAGAACAGATTATTAAAAAGAGTTAAGGTACAAAACAATTTAACCTGAGCCACTGGAAGTTCAATGGATTGATAATGGTATGCTGTATAGATTTAGTGTCTTGACGGAGCTGACGTTGCGATCTAGGCACATTTCTTCAAAGAGGCAGTTGGGCAACGTGGCTAGCATACAAGAGACTGGGTGGTGCAATAGTTTATTGGCCGATCCTTCGTCGAACGAAGTCAAGATACTGCACAAAGCATTGATTTAGATTCTGATTCATTTATTTCTCAAATATAATATTACACTATAAATTGCACTACATGTCAGAGTATAAAAAAATTATATTGATATCGTCAAACAAAAATGAAAATTATAAGAAAAATACACAACCAATAGAAAATCAAAAATTCATTAATTTTTGTTGTTAAAAATATTGTTGTCATTAAATTACATAATATCAAATTCAAATTCAAATTCAAAATAATCTTTATTTCATAGGTAAGCATTATTACACTTGAAATCGTCACAATATCAAATATCATTCTCCATCAAGGATCGTCATTGACAAATATTTTGTATAATTGTTATCTGTTATTAATATGTCAATGCGCTAAAAATTAAAATAAAATAGAAAATACTCAACATCGTTACGTTTTTAGGTCCATAAATTCATTTACAGAGTGTAAAGGATTTTCCAAGAAAAAGTTTTTCAGCCGGCGCCTAAATGTTTCGTCAGATGGTCAATAAGAGTAGCGGGTAGACGCTTATATCAAGGCTGCAACAAATGCCAGATTGACGAATTAGGCTCTTTTTAAATTAAATTCCCGATAATAATAATAGTCCAATAATCACATGAATAATTGAACGTATTGACCAAAACTACAATTTATTAAGATCTTTTTACGAAAATAAATATTACAGTTACGTCCTTCAAATTGAATAAAAAGCAATTTCTCTTTACTTGCAAACATCCGTTGTTTATAAAATTTACACGAAAAAATAGATGATATAATTTAAAACAGAATGTATTGTTTACTTTTTTTTTAACTTATATAATTCATAAGTGAAGTGTTATTATTTGAAAAAAGTAATTCCTTCCCTCGCGAGTGGGTTCACAAGCTCACAAGCTGGTGACGTCAGGCTGCGCCGCGCTGCACCGCAAGACACAAAGATATATCCACTTTATTTAGTAGAAATGAAATTATACTGCATTTTCCGCCCACCGCCGCTAGCCGCAGTTTTGTTTTAAAGAAAATAGAAAATAAAACCACCACTGATCCAAAAAATATCGCAAATATTTGCTCTCGTGACGAAGAACCCATTCTTGAACCAGAAAATACTCCTAGTCCAATTAAACTACTTGTCCTGGCTATTTAGACTTTGACGCTTTTTAATGTTAACAATTTAGTTAACAAAGTACCTACTTTAATGTATATTTATTGAACCTCGCGCAAAGTACGTACTGTTATACTGTACTTTGTATTTCTTATTGTTGGAATTTCCATCAGTTAAAAACCAATTAGTCGTATTGGTCGTAATCACTTTTATTTTTATTATTATTATTATTAATTTGTATAAAATAAATTGAATAAATAATACATAAAGTGATACTTTCAATGGCGCATATTAATTAGTAAATATTGAAGTTTGTTAAATGCATTTAAAATATAGCGAATAAAAGTATTTGTTTTAATTTCAATATTCTTTTCTACTTCTCTTTTTTTAGTTGAAAATAGAAGTATTAGTTGTTAATTGATCCTATCAACTAACGATCGAATCATTGCATGATCTACATATTATATTCACTATTTATGCTATTACAATTTTGACCCTAAAATATTATGTAATGTTTATTTTTAAGATGGTTTATTCTCGAATGTCTCTGAGGGAATAACATCGTAGGTATATATCACAAAAAAACACTTATGACTCTTCTGTATTCTAATTTACAACTTATCTTTATTTAACTTTGTGAAGTATAAGCGAGTGGTCGATAGATGGCGCTTGAAATTGTTACTACTGCCTCTAAGGTCAAATCGTCAAAGTCATTCGTGACTGTTCAAGCCTTAAGAAGATCCGATCACAGGCGGGTTTTTCTCTGCAAGTGCCATGCGTCGGAGGATTGTTCTCAAATTACCGATATGTAATGGTATGAATATGTTTAAGTAGTCTGAAACTACATTAGTTAAAATGTAGATTCAGAAAATAACAGAAGTAGGTATGTATATATATTTATTTGTACAATGTATGAACTTGGTTGCAGCTACCAGCAATTCAAGATCTGATGATAATAATGCCCGAGTTTACGTTACGTTTTTGATATATTTATAATCTTTTATCTGTTTTTTTCATATAAAAAGGTGATTCTGTATCAACAGAGAGCATCGTGTATTTAGACTCCGCCGGGTAAGAACAGCACTGTTAGATTTTTGTCTTCCATTTTCAAATATTACTTTTTCTATTTTAAAATGGATTATATTACCAATGTATTGATAATTAAAATTTCCGTTACTGCGATTTGTGGCAAAGCCGGGTGTCCATCTCTTGAAAGTTAAAATAAACTAAAACTTCTAATTTTTTTCTAGGTCCAAGATGAAGTGGATAGTTCTACTGCCATTACTATGTCTCTTTGTACAAGCAGAAGAAAGAGAACTTGATTGGTGGGAGAAGACCATTTTCTATCAAATCTATCCAAGATCTTTTATGGACAGCGATGGTGATGGTATAGGTGACATAAATGGTAAGTAAAAATGTATTGTGTGTAAAGCAGTATTTTTTTAATAAGCGATTGTAGAGTAAACTTTTTATGCTTTGACTGAGAAAAACATACCATTAATCATACCTACATATTTATGTAAATTGATCCGTGACATGTTATTATTGTTTTGTTTTACAGGAATAACGTCAAAACTTGAACATCTCAAAGAAATGGGGATTGGGGCAACATGGCTTTCGCCAATTTTCAAGTCACCTATGTACGATTTTGGGTACGACATTTCTGATTTTTACCAGATCCAAGAAGAATACGGTACTATGGAAGATTTCCAAAGATTATTGGCTAAAGCTAAGGAGCTAGGTATGAACTTACTAGTTTTGATTCTGCTTAAAGTGTTCAAAGAATGTTTTTAATTTTTTTTTTAATATGAATTCCCTTTTCCCCAGACATCAAAATCGTACTTGATTTTGTACCAAACCATACAAGCAATGAGAGCATGTGGTTTCAAGAAGCACTAAAGGGTCACGAGAAATATTATAACTACTTCATTTGGGAAGACGGAGTAGTAGATGAAAACGGAAATCTTCAACCTCCTAACAACTGGGTATAATATAAATTTTATAATATGTTCTAAAACAAGAACAGCAAAAGAAACAATTAAATACCTACATTTAAAGTAGGCTATTTAGCTAACAGTATGTGGACACATAAGCTCCATTATTAAACATGTAAAAACTAAAATGTAAAAAAAAACATTACTTTACAGGTCAGTAATTTTCGCAAAAGTGCATGGGAGTATAGAGAAGAAGTAGGCAAATTCTACCTTCACCAATTTGTCATTGGACAGCCTGATTTGAATTACCGAAACCCTGACGTGGTCGAAGAAATGAAGAACGTTATTCGTTATTGGTTAGATATGGGCATCGCAGGTTTTAGAGTCGATGCTATAGCACATTTGTTCGAAGTTGACAAAGAGGCGTTCGGTGGGAAATACCCTGACGAGCCACTTACACGATCAACTGATGACCCTGACGATTACGGTTACCTTGATCATATTTATACCTTACATCAAGATGAAACTTATGACATGGTTTACCAGTGGAGAGAAATATTTGATGAGTACTCTGCTAAAGATAAATCTACTAAAGTAATGATGATTGAGATTTATGCTTCACCTGAACAAACTATGAGATATTTTGGAGATGGTGAACGTGAAGGTGGCCAGATGCCGTTCAATTTTGCACTCATTAGTGATGTCAATCGTGATTCAACAGCATTCGAAATTAAATATGCTCTCGACAAGTTTCCTACTTTTAAACCTATTGACAAACTTTCAAACTGGGTGGCAAGTATAGTTATAATGAAATTTCAAATACTTTTGTTTATCAAAAACAACTAACGCTATTTTTATCGTATTTAAGGCTGGGAACCATGACAAAAGCAGACTTGCATCGAGATATAGTCCTGAATTAGTTGATGGAATGAACATGATCCTTCTGTTAATGCCTGGTATTGCTGTCACTTACTTGGTAAGTTTACTAAAAACCCTGTCGTTTATAAACACGAAAAAATCAAGTAAACAACCTATGGCAAATGGTTTTCGTAGGGTGAAGAAATTGGTATGGTCGACGGATACGTAAGCTGGGAAGATACCGTCGATCCGAGTGGATGTAACACTGACGACCCTGTGAACTACTGGAAACTTTCAAGAGATCCTGCGCGAACTCCATTCCAATGGAGTGCTGAGAAAAATGCTGGTAAGAAAGTAATTTATAGCTGATTAAGCGTTTCAGGTCGTGAAATCATTTCAGTGAAAAGGAATTGTAATCAAACATCGTTTCACAGAAACATTCAAGTGAATTTCGACGAGCAATTCCATGAAATCGGTCCTTAATTAATGGAGCAATTATTATGTTTGATTACCTAACATTACCTTCTTTTAAGAATGAAAGCGTACCTATTTAAATGAACCCTAAACAACCGGAAAAAGATCTAGCAGTGCAGAAGATTTTGTGGAAGTATATGTAGGCGGTAACTACTGCTACTTTCGATGAATTCACAACATTGTGATATGGAATAATAGTGTGATATTTAATAGAAGCCTAATAAAACTTTTGTTCTAGGTTTCTCGACTGCGGATAAAACGTGGCTGCCTGTCGCTGCTGGCTACGAAACCTTGAACGTGGAATACCAACGCAATACTGAAAAATCGCACTTGAACGTATACAAAGCTCTGGCTAAGCTACGAACTGAGAAGATATTCCGTCATGGACGATATGAATCTGTTGCTTTCAATAGAGATGTTTTAGGTTTCAGAAGGTGAGTTATATTTTGAATTTAATTTTATACTGTTGGAGAATATTTAGTACCAAATGTTGTCAAAAACAGCTTATTCTTGGTTATAATGATTTACGAAACTGAGAAAATGTAAACATTTCTGAGGAAATGAAAACAGATAGCGATTTGAAGTTATATCTGACAAATCGGCATTGATTTTCAAGTACTTTTTAGTAACATAGCGCATCATGAGAAATAAACCAATGATTTGGAGATAAGATCCAGATAACGTTATTAGATTACTGTTTTAAGGATTTGTTCATTTGTGAAGTTGCCTACCATTACGTAACCATAACCTGTTGTGCAAATTTGAATCACAATCATTTTGTCACCGCATAAAAAAATAATAATAATGCGCGCACTCATAGCCCCGCACTAAGGAAACCCTGTGTCACGGGTGCCATGGAAACAATCATAGACAACCTCAAATTACACCCAAACTCACAAATATATCTCCCGGCCCGGAAATCGAAGCTGGGACCTCTGCGTAGCAGATCAGTATGGTTTAACCGTTCGACAAAGAAGGCAGTAAAAGCACTTTTGGTCGCTGCCTAGTGTATAAATTTTTAGACGATGATGTTTGAAAGTTGAAATTTACTAAGTATCCTCACAGTTGTGAGTTTTCATTTATATTCTGATAATATATACTAAATAAAACAAGGTGTAGCAAATTTACGCTAGTTCGATAAATGTTAAGGGCGATAAAGACAGACCTTGATGATCAAACACAATTTTTTTATTATTGACAGGTGGTATAACAAGGAGAACTATGTAGTTTTGATCAACTTCAGAGATGTTCCATACACTCTAGACATAAGCTACTTTGAAAATGTCATCGGTCAAGTCAGAGTGGCTCTTACAAGCGTTAATTCTAATAAAAATATTGGGTAAGGTGATATAAAGTATCTTTACCATAGTCAATTTGTACTTCTAATACACAATCGTAACGAAAATTGCCTTGGCAAAGTCAGTGAAACTCAAAAGATTTTTTTAAGATTGAATTACGTTCAGCTTTGCCATTTTAAAATCTTTATGAAATTGGATTCTTTAAGGGCTTATACAGTTGTGACTTAATCAAATTTTGCCTTTCAGAGATGTACTAAACGTTAAAGCCGTGGACATTAACGCTTATGAAGCCTTAGTACTTGAAGTGGTGAAATAAAGTCGAAAATAAATTAGAGTTCCTGTTACACAACGGTCTAGGCCAGAATTATTGCAATCGTAAACAAAAATTTCCACATAATGCCATATAAGAAATAAAGTTTAAATAAAGATGACGTGTTTTTTGTGAACTTCATACCTATAGATATAAATGCGAATGCTGGTTCGTCTCAATATTATATTTAATGGAGATAGGAATAAATTTGTAAGAAATAATAATAATCAATTTGGTTGGAACTGTAAGCTTACATTAAGTTTTTTCAGGAATTAATAGAGTTTCACTTACTTTAGGACAGATGTAAATTATATTAAATGTCTTGGGGGTAATCCGAATACACAACCTTAGCGAGATCTTGTTAATAAAGGCACCGCCACAGATACGCTAGGTTTGAAACTCGACTCTTTTTTTTGTAGAAAAGAGATAGGGTATTATTATAGTGGTCTCATTCAATTTTGAAATAAATATTTCACCTTTGGGTAACGAATTAGGGAAGAACCTAGTTTACACGATTTTACCCACTTTCCCGTAACCGATTTCGATAAAATTTGGCAAATACATGTAATTCGACAGACTGTCGAACACACAGACAGATTTTGAGGTCGGTTTTTTATAAAAAGTTAAATTAATATTTCTATTATTTGTTAATACTACGCTGATGTATTTGTACCAAGTCTCATTTGCCTGGCTTTATTAGCTTCGTATTTGACGCTTCGTATTCTGTTATGTACATATTTGATATCATCTCTACACAACTCCCTTTGGGTCACTAGAATTTATTACGGCGGTATTGAAATATTATCAAAATCGGAGAGAAAAAACTAGATCAAGGCCTTACAAAAAATTTACGATACACCTAAGGATATTGTTTAAAGAATGAGCTAATGTTTCATAGGATGAGAAGTACTTTACCCGATCATATAAAATCGAATTATTTGTTATACGGATATATTTCTCTTTAACTACTATAGAGAACCTGCTGTATTATATACATAGGAAGTTATCCAGCGGTTTAAGGACATACCACGCCGCCCGCTGCCCTGTCATCAGTCTATCGGGCGCTTGTTAACGTCGGATGTCTGTGTCATATTTTCTCCGCCTGTTTTTATTTAATCGTATTAATTTTCTGCGTGCGGATTGTCGTATACGCGGGCGGCCCCCACACCTTACCGCCTAAAATATAGTCTCGGATACAAGAATCAGATGGCAAAGATATATACGCATTTGATGCAAGTATTGAACTTCCTCAAAATCTATTCTATGAAAGACCTTCACCTTAGGCTTAACAGAAATACCATTGTATGATATAGAACTACTCTACACTATTGGCCTTTGAGAATAACAACCTGCTTCAATGTTGAATTTTGTCAAATTAGCGAATAACGAACGAGGTTAAAATCCCAATATTGATTTATGCTTCGGCAAATACATAACATCGTTGTATAATGAATAATTCATTGAGAGCGTACATTAGAACGATACACCTGCCTGTATCTCATTATCATAATTCTGATAATACTGCTTGTTACACTGGGAAATACAAATTGATTCGTATCAATTTCTACCACAGGATTTTGTCATGTAAGTAGGATCCGCAGACTGTGATAGAAACTGAATAAAATATTAAAATTGTAATGTCAAAAAATTAACATATTGAGTGCCCAGATGCTGGCACCGGTGTTTCACTTGAGAATTTTCGACAACAGGTAAATAAAGATACTTACTTTTTTACACTGGTTGCAGTATCAACAATAACTACGATGTGACTATTTGATGGAGATATTCCACCTCCGGTGCCGCAAATTCATAATGGTGATATTGCATGGTTTCTTATAGGAACGGGACTTAATATCAGGAACATTGCCAATATCAGTGAAGGTAACAATAAAAAACTTACACACATGTTTCTAAGTTTCAATTCCTTACTTCATACCGTGTTTTTCTTTCACATGTTCCATTCAAAGAAATTTGTACTTAATAGTGTTGAAAATATGCTCTATTTTATGTTGCATTTAGCAAAATCTTCTACATCTTTTCTTACATAGTTTTATAAATAAATAACACACACACTCACAACTGCACTTGGGAAACTTTGTGTCGCGGGTGCCATGGACATACAAGCTCACGAGATAAATAAATGTAGGCCTTAGAAATATTTCTCCCGGTCAGGGAATCGAACCCGTGACTTCTGCATGGCAGAACAGTTGGTACTATTATGTACAACTTAAAGTACATGTTGCATTGTGCCTACTCAACGACCTCCGTGGCCGAGTAGCTTGCACACTGGTTTGCATGGTGTCGCCATCTCTGAGGTCCTGGGTTCGATCCCCGACCGGGTGTAGAAAAACTAACTTTTCATCCCTATCCCGACTATATCATCCCGGGTGTTTGTGGTACCGTCATTGTTTCCGATTTCCATACCACAAGTGCTTTAGTTATTTGTTTTGGGATCACAGCCTGGTTAAGGTAATTTTAGAGTACATCTTAAAACAATGCTTGATAAGATACTCTTAATACAATGCATTAAGGGTATTTTTTCCATTACAAGCATTGATTAATTAATTAATAATTTACCTTTAGAATTAAAGAAAAACATAACTACGGTTAATATAAAAAGTTCAATTAAAAGTTACTTTGAAAAAAAAAAAAATAAAATAAAAAAAATAAATAAATGTAGTAGTATAACAATGAAACATGTAATTTCTAATTGAGATTTGTAATCTTTTGTTAGCTTATTAAATATAAGAATGTATTATTAAGATGTAATTAAGGAGAACGTGCAGCACCCGGACAAACCAACGTAGGTTTAAGGGTGTGATGTATATATATTTTTGTAATATTCTTAGTGTTTAAAATAAATAAATAAAAAAAATAATAATAATTTAGGATAGTGCAAAAGGATATTGTCTTTTATACATTCCCTTTCAGGGGAATCTGTTTTACGAATAACCTTAGGAAATGAAACTATATTTTGGGTCTAAATCGCGTATTTTATTCTTTCAGACAAACCGATGCCTTTTGCAGATCCCATGGTCACGGATGGCTGAGATAGTAAAGTCATCAGCCAGTTATGTCTAATAGCAATGAGCAGTGAAGGCCCAGAAACGTTGCTTTGTTTGAAAAAACAAAGAACACTTTCATTTCTTATGTATAACAATCGCGAATACCTGAGAACTCGATATGTACCCTATTATGGCTGCTATTATTAAAGGTATTTTGAATTTGAATTTCTTCAGTTAGTAAATTGGTGGAAAACTTACAATGTTTCATTCTGAGAAAGTAATTTTCACGTGAGATGAAATGAAATTGTACCTACCCAGGGTAGGGCTGCCATCACGTTAATTATTGACGCCTGACTTAAAAATCCCCGGGCATTTGGGTGAAGCAGAGTTTTTTCCTAGGGCTCTTTGAAAAATTGTTACTAACAAAAATAAAATAATCACCTTTTTTATTCATAAACATCGTGTTTTTAGATAGAGCATCAAAACTAATGTCGTTTGCACCTAAGAAACTACCTAATAAACTACATACCTACTCATTTTTCTGATAAGAAAATTAATTTAGTAAAGCTCTTCCTTTTGGCATCAAATTAATTCTGCATTGCACAAATAAGTGACATTAAAAATTACATGTTACAAAGGACATAATACAAAGATGAGCTTATCTCTAGAAGAGATTTCTTCCAGCCAACCCTAGCAATGGTGAATAAAGTAAGTCTGCGAAACATTATTGTACAAAAAAATTATTAAAATTTAAAATAAAAAATGAAAATAAAATTATCTATGCAAACTAAGTAATGCTGCATAAAGTTAAATCATGACGTAATCAACAAATAATGAGACATTTAGTTATTCTTCAGATTTCGATGATTCTTTTCTTGTTAGAAAAAGGTTACCTCAGAAGTGGTCTCATTTAAATTTGAAGAAAATATTCTTTTTAATAATAATAATAATTCATTTATTCGCTTCAAATAGGGTAGGGTACATTATATTATATATTCGACCTCTAAGGGTGGTAAACTAGGGGATGAATGACTCAGGTTAGGTTATCATTTTTAATTTTTAATGAAATTGGCTTTCAGTTATTTCTCATATTTCTCATTTTTTTAACCCCTTCTCGACGGCGGCTGACAGCCCTAATCCAGAGTAACCCCTCAATTGTGACTGTACGTTGTAATTAGGGATCAAAGTTGCTTCAGTACCAGACGCCGTTTACCCTATCCCAACGAGGAGACTATACCTATACCTGGTTATGGTTTTATTGCAAGTTAATCTCTTAACATGAAACAACTACATTGACTTTGTACATATAACAGAGAAAGGGAGGATTGTAGTTATACAGGGTGATAAATTAACCTTGCACCCGAATTTTTTTTTTTATGCAACCAAGAGACGGGTCCTAGTGGTAAGCGACACGCCTGTCTTTAACAGTTGCAGTGCCGTTCAGTGCTTAAAAATCGCAATGGTCCGAAAGGACTGCACTGCGCCCGTCATACTGGGACATAAGTTGACAAGTCCCATGTGTCTGTCACTTCACCTAATTATTGTTAATATTATTATTGATGTAAAGATTGGACAAAGAAATATTTCACAATTTAACATGCCGTGTACTACCAATATCACCAGATCTCAATTTGCGAGTACCAGAGTAACAAAATCAATCCCAGGGGAATATCTAAAACATCCACACCGTGGTCAATTTAGAAATACTCGTGTTCCAAATTGGTTTTTCCGGGAATCGAACTGGGGATCTTCTTATCTAGCGTCTAAAGTATTTATCGCTATGCCACAGAGGTCGCCAAAACTGTTCAACTATGTCTGAATATTTGATAAACACTGACTTAATATCAAGTAAGGTAAGGCGTAGGTTTGATTCAAACGGCCATAGCTTTTCATTGAATTATACGATTGTTTTCTCATAATTTGAACACTAATATTATGTTAGAGCTGGCTGTCTGTCAAACGAATTAATATCCAATCAAGCCAATTAGTGCATACGCAAATATTGTGCTTCAACGGCTAATTAATTGAAAATACCGCATGTTAAAATCAATACTGTACTGTATATAAATCATATATCAAAAAT